AGACTGAGCATGGTTACAGTCCCGAACCCAGAGGCTTGAAACTCCTGCCGGTACATGTGTGTGCATGCCCAAAATCCAAAGCAAGAATGGAACAGAAGAGATTGCAGAGTGCTCATCCCTCCTGGGAGATTTCTCGCTTTCTGTCTCTCTGTCCCTCCAGCGAGTGCATGCACTCTATAGCAAAAATCTCTCAAAAAACAAAACAAAAAACACAAAAACTTAATACACTCTGATATGTAGAATGATAAAAAAGAGGACTACCCAGAAGAGATTACCTACATCTATGAAAGGTTAGAGATCAAAGGTCTTTTTTTTTTTTTTTTGGAGAGGTTTTCACTATAGGGCGCGTGCGCTCGCCAGACAGACAGAGACATAGAGACAGAAAGCGAGAAATCACCCCCCAGGGGGGATGGTCACGCCACAATCCCTTCTCCTCCATTCTCCTCTCGGGATCTTGGGCACGCACACACACGCGCCTGGCGTGAGTTCTAAGCTACTGGGTCCGGGACGTGAACCGCGGTTGACTACATGGGAGTCCAGCGACATAGCCATTACGCTAACTGCCGGTTCCCGAGATCAAAGGTCTTTGAACAAGCTAAAAAAATAAGTGACTAGAGAGGTTAGTGAAAAACTTAAAGAATGTTGTCTACTATTAAATGGGGGGAGGGGCAGATAATTAACCTCAAGTGCTGAGAATTCTTACCTGTTTGTGTGTTTTTTTTTTTTTTTTTTTTTTTTTAGAGGTTTTCGCTATAGGGCGCGTGCGCTTGCCAGACAGACACAGAGAGACATAGAGACAGAAAGCGAGAAATCACCCCCCAGAAGGGATGGTCACGCCGCAATCCCTTCTCCTCCATTCTCCTCTCGGGATCTTGGGCACGCATGCACATGCGCCCGGCGTGAGTTCTAAGCCACCATTACACTAACTGCTGGTTCCCCGTTTGTGTTTTTGAATATAGCTACTTACCTTAGTGTTTTACATTCATATCATAGCAACTATTTCTATTTGAATTTTAAAGCTAGTATTAATGTATTACCTTGATAAAAAAATAGAAATTAGAATAAAACCCTGCAAAGTACTGCCCATTCTAAGGGAAAAATGAAGTTGAATCATCAGGTTAAGAAGGTTCATTCAAGACCCAGGTAATACGTTAGTAGATCTGCCATTTAAGTTTAATCCTATCTCCTCGACCCTTTTTCAAAATGAAGTTTCCTTTATCCACCATCACTTCTCATATAGATTATTGCTGTAACAGCTTAATTGTTTTAACTTTCTTTCATTGCTGCTGACACATTACAACACATCTGGTGGCTTAAAACAATACCAATATTATCTCACAGTTCTGTAGGTCAGAGGCCTAGCACAGCTCTCACTGGTATCATCTGGGCTGTGCTTCTTCTGGAGGCTCTGGTAAGGGGAGAGGGAGGACCATTTCCTTGTCTTTTCTGGCTTCTAGAAGCTGCCCACTTTCCTCATGTTGTAGCTTCTTTTCTCAAGCAACATGGCATTC